TATCAGTTCTATAGTTTATAATAACAGTATTAGTGCTGCTATCAGTTCTATAGTTTATAATAACAGTATTACTCCTGCTATCAGTTCTATAGTTTATAATAACAGTATTAGTCCTGCTATCAGTTCTATAGTTTATAATAACAGTATTACTCCTGCTATCAGTTCTATAGTTTATAATAACAGTATTACTCCTGCTATCAGTTCTATAGTTTATAATAACAGCATTACTCCTGCTATCAGTTCTATAGTTTATAATAACAGTATTAGTGCTGCTATCAGTTCTATATTTTATAATAACAGTATTAGTCCTGCTATCAGTTCTATAGTTTATAATAACAGTATTTGTGCTGCTATCAGTTCTATAGTTTATAATAACAGTATTAGTGCTGCTATCAGTTCTATATTTTATAATAACAGTATTTGTGCTGCTATCAGTTCTATAGTTTATAATAACAGTGTTAGTCCTGCTATCAGTTCTATAGTTTATAATAACAGCATTACTCCTGCTATCAGTTCTATAGTTTATAATAACAGCATTACTCCTGCTATCAGTTCTATAGATTATAATAACAGCATTACTCCTGCTATCAGTTCTATAGTTTATAATAACAGTATTAGTGCTGCTATCAGTTCTATAGTTTATAATAACAGCATTACTCCTGCTATCAGTTCTATAGTTCATAATAACGGTATTAGTGCTGCTATCAGTTCTATAGTTTATAATAACAGCATTACTCCTGCTATCAGTTCTATAGTTCATAATAACAGTATTAGTGCTGCTATCAGTTCTATAGTTTATAATAACAGTATTAGTGCTGCTATCAGTTCTATAGTTTATAATAACAGCATTAGTGCTGCTATCAGTACTACAACTTGTTATAACAGCATTAGTGCTGCTATCAGTTCTATAGTTCATAGGGGCGGTGGGGTAGCCTAGTGGTTAAAGCGTTGGCTCGTCACGCCGATGACCCGTTCGAATCCCACATGGGTACATTGTGTGAAGCCCATTTCTGGTGTCCCCCGCCGCGATGTTGCTGGAATATTGCTAAAAGCGGCTTAAAACCAAACTTAGTCAGTCAGTCTATAGTTCATAATAACAGTATTAGTGCTGCTATCAGTTCTATATTTTATAATAACAGTATTAGTGCTGCTATCAGTTCTATATTTTATAATAACAGCATTACTCCTGCTATCAGTACTACAACTTGTTATAACAGCATTACTCCTGCTATCAGTTCTATAGTTCATAATAACAGTATTAGTGCTGCTATTAGTTCTATATTTTATAATAACAGTATTAGTGCTGCTATCAGTTCTATAGTTTATAATAACAACATTACTCCTGCTATCAGTTCTATAGTTTATAATAACAGCATTATTCCTGCTATCAGTACTACAACTTGTTATAACAGCATTACTCCTGCTATCAGTTCTATAGTTCATAATAACAGTATTAGTGCTGCTATCAGTTCTATATTTTATAATAACAGTATTACTCCTGCTATCAGTTCTATAGTTCATAATAACAGTATTAGTGCTGCTATCAGTTCTATATTTTATAATAACAGTATTAGTGCTGCTATCAGTTCTATATTTTATAATAACAGTATTACTCCTGCTATCAGTTCTATAGTTCATAATAACAGTATTACTCCTGCTATCAGTTCTATAGTTTATAATAACAGCATTACTCCTGCTATCAGTACTACAACTTGTTATAACAGCATTACTCCTGCTATCAGTTCTATAGTTCATAATAACAGTATTAGTGCTGCTATCAGTTCTATATTTTATAATAACAGCATTACTCCTGCTATCAGTACTACAACTTGTTATAACAGCATTAGTGCTGCTATCAGTACTACAACTTGTTATAACAGTATCAGTGCTGCTATCAGTACTACAACCTGTTATAACAGTATTAGTGCCAGTCATATCTGTTTTCCCCTTACTGGTTACTGTGTTACTCCTGCAAGCATTGCTACAACCCGTGGAGATCCGGGTTAGACTTGATCTTCAGCAACCCATGCTTGTCGTAAGAGGCGACTAACGGGATCGAGCGGTCAGGCTCGCTGACTTGGTTGACACATGTCATCGGTTCCCAATTGTGTAGATCGATGCTCATGCTATTGATCAATGGATTGTCTGGTCCAGACTCGATTATTTACAGACCGCCGCCATATAGCTGGAATATTGTTGAGTGCGGCGTAAAAGTAAACTCACTCACTCATTGCTACTAATAATCAGCCCAGGAATCTAACATATATACTGTTGTTTAACACTTTGATTCTTGGTGTCAAACCTCAGACAAATTATCATTTTTAAAGCGTTTTAGGGAACAATTTCTGTTGGGCATGGAGTAAAAAGCCCAAATAGCAAAAGGTTTTCTTTGTGTCCTTTGTTCTGATACCATTATCAGCAAATGCAGGCACACCACACAACCATGACAAGGAACTAGCGACCAAAGACACTCAAACGTCTATAGTTACAGGAATATTCTCATTATCCTTACTTTCATCGGTTCTAAGAGATTGAAAAGCTCGTGACCAGACAAAATCAATCGTGGTACCTACTAATATTTGATTCGTCGTGATCTAAATGTTCTCTGCAAGAAAAGTTTAAGTAAATTAATAGAGACAATTGCCATGATGTATTAATGCGCTGGTTTGCAGTTATTTCAAACCTTATTTGACATGACATGACATGACATGACGCACAGTGGTGTAAACCCATAGGCCACGTCGATATATGTAACATATAGGTGAACTACAGTGCCTACAAACGCGGGCAAGTACATAGAGCATACTTTAGTTCTTATCTCACAATATTACTGTGGACATCAGGGGATGCTCGGAACGAGATATACCATCATACAAAACTGTTAAAAACGCAATGCAAACAATATAAGAAGAACAACTGATACTGTCTCTGGAGTTTCCACTCCTCCCCTTCCGGTGCGTCCTTAATAAAGCGTTTGTGAACAATAAATAAGCAGCTAAGTCAATGAATTGTCTGTTGTTCACCGTTATGGCAAACCTTGTTTGTTCTCTCCTAGAAAGCCATTGCCAGGGAGGAGATGTTGTGAAGGGGGGAGGTGGAGGAAGGCAGACCCCATGATAACGGCCAACGGACAGACATACAATTTCCGACAGTTTGTGAAGATAATGATTGTTCAAGAGACAAGATTATATATATTCTCTTTCATCCGCAGGCCAATGTCAGATTGACATAGTTCGTACTATCATGAGAATGCAGAGTTTAGGTTTTATTGTCTATGTAGAGGACGTTATGTGCGGATAAAACAGCAGTATTGGATAAGATATGCAAGATATCAGTTTAATGGCCCAACTGCAACTGTACGGCAACTCCGTGGGTGCTGTTCACTTTACGTGAGCGTTTTGTTTTCATTTACGTGCTTCCAGGATGGGTTTATAACAGTAAGCCGATAAGATATTCTATTAATCATTAGGAACAGACCGAGTTCTCAACTAAACCGGCAAATAAAAACATTTACGAGAAATACTCAGGACCAGACGGGGAGTATGGTGAAATGTACACACGAACGCGAATTCCTGCCCGTTCTTGTGTTATACATCGCCCCAAATAGACATCATAATTTGAAACACATTATGGAACCCATTAATGCGGATTCTTAGGAAACAGAACATTCCTCATCAAAGAGATTGTCAATCGACGGAGGTGGCTAAGTGGCGTGATTATGACTCTTCTCTCCCTCCCTCCCCTCCCCCTCCCTTTCCTTCCTTTGTACTGCCAAATGGGTACGCAGTGTGATGTCCGTTTTTGTCTTTCGCCCGTTCGACTGTTCTGTGACATTGTCGCTCTGTGGCGCTTGATTAGTTTTAACAATGTCTACTATTAGTGTGGGCGGTGGGGTAGCTTAGTGGTTAAAGCGTTCGCTCCTCACGCCGAAGGTCCGGGTTCGAATCCACACATGGGTACAATTTGTGAAGCCCATTTCTGGTGTCGCCCGTCGTGATATTGCTGGAATATTGCTAAAAACGGCGTAAAACCATACTCAGTCAGTCAGTACTATTTTTGTGAGAGCGACATTGCGAGAATGTCCCTTTCATCACACGTGACTAACTAATTATAAACGTGGGACAGACCATACTCGCACAATCCAAACCTTTGTTCTTTCTTACAAGTTACGTCAAATCAAGTCAGTCATTTGACTAAAATGATTAATAATTGCCGATATATATAGATCTAAGTATGACCATGCTCCTAATCCGAGATGATATTCTCCTTGGTTTGTGTGACCACTGGGCCAAAGACCTGCTCGTGTTTAAAGCTTCTTCCCACTACACATCCTTATCTAGGCATGTATATAGTGTTGTCTCATACCAAACAGTCAGGTGCTGAAATCAAAGAAAGTCATGGTCGCTTTAATATGAACACACATTCAAATTCCATGAGCCATGACACATATACCGACGGACAAGATCTTACACACTCTGATCTCACTCTGAGGGTGTGGGTTCGAATCCCAGATGGGACTCAACCCAACAGTTGTACTAGACTCTGTACTTTACTAAGAAAGTGTAATCCCAAATATAACATTTGTTACTTTGGACAAGATCTTTGATGATATGCACATGTTGCACGTGCATCACGCACATATTGCCCTATGGCCGGAATAATGCCGATGTGCCGTAAAACCAAACTCAACTCAACATATTGCCCTATCGCGTTCATTAGGTCACGTGTTTTGTCACCCGGATGTCCGATCTGGAAGCGGATAGAATATGTAGCAGTTTACCTTTATTTTAAAGAATGTAATGATTTCTGTAGACAATGGCGTGTTTGCAGATTTCTGGAAAAACACTTTGTCGGGGACAATTGCAGAATATGTTGTAATCCATATACATATATATGGAATTAGGTATATAGGTTAGCATTAGTTTTAAAAAATAGGATCCCTTGTTGCGAGAGCTGTTGAGGTACCGTATGTAATGTATTATTTGATTTTTTTGTTCCAGATTTGTTGGTCGAGTGCAGCAAGGGGAACGTGTCACGTGACCTGTTATTACAAAAGATCAGCCTCCTTCTGGGGCTGCCTGAGGTGATTCACTGGGGTCCAGCCTGCAACAAAGCCGTGAGGGAGGTGTTTCAAAACAGTCTGGCTCAGAGGAAAGGCAAATACAAGAAATATCCTTTGTACAATATAGCCCTACGTGTCGATGTTTGTCACTCACTCACTCACTCACTCACTCACTTACTCACGCACCCGCCCACTCACTCACTCGGGGCAGCTTTGTCGTTAAGCCATCCTCGTCCCGCCGAAGTACGTGTTAGACTCTCACGGAGGATGCCCTGTCAGGTGAACTCCACAGGGATATTAATTGGATATTGCTGAAAGTTGCTTGAAATATAAATACTTTCTGCACACTATCACTCAGTTGGGTACGTTATGCATTCGACAAAATGGTATCGAGTTGTTGGACTTGGTTGTTGCGTGAACGCGTAGTTAAACAATTTTATTATCTCACCAAAAACTGATATTGCTTCTATCGTGATGACCATGAGCATGCCCCCATAAAGAACCCTTTCCCTTCATCAAAAGACCCTTATTATGTTCATCAGTTAAGATGAATCATGTGCTGTGCTTGTAGCTTACGCAAGAGGGCTTTGATAGACCCTTGCATGTTTGCTACACGTCATTAAATATCTACTTAGCCAATGTTGTGATCATCCATCAGTTAATGATAACCCTTTCTGATCACCCATCAGGTAATGATAACCCTTTGTGATCACCCATCAGTTAATGAAAACCTTTGTGATCATCCATCAGTTAATGAAAACCCTGTGATCACGCATCATTTAATGATAACCCTTTGTGATCACCCATCAGTTAATGATAACCCTTTGTGATCACCCATCAGTTAATGATAACCCTTTGTGATCATCCATCAGTTAATGATAACCCTTTGTGATCACCCATCAGTTAATGAAAACCCTTTGTGATCACCCATCAGTTAATGATAACCCTTTGTGATCACCCATCATTTAATGGTAACCCTTTGTGATCACCCATCAGTTAATGAAAACCCTTTGTGATCACCCATCAGTTAATGATAACCCTTTGTGATCACCCATCAGTTAATGATAACCCTTTGTGATCACCCATCAGTTAATGAAAACCCCTTGTGATCACCCATCAGTTAATGATAACCCTTTGTGATCACCCATCATTTAATGGTAACCCTTTGTGATCACCCATCAGTTAATGAAAACCCCTTGTGATCACCAATCAGTTAATGATAACCCTTTGTGATCACCCATCAGTTAATGATAACCCTTGTGATCACCCATCAGTTAATGAAAACCCTTTGTGATCACCCATCAGTTAATGATAACCCTTTGTGAACCCCCATCATTTAGTGATAACCCTTTGTGATCACCCATCAGATAATGAAAACCCTTTGTGATCACCCATCATTTAATAATAACCCTTTGTGATCACCCATCAGTTAATGAAAACCCTTTGTGATCACCCATCAGTTAAAGGTCACATGCAACCAAAAAATCAAACATAATTAAAACACAATTATCATTTATTCATGACATATAATATACATTACTGGTTATGAAAAAACATAAAAACAAAATTATAAGCGTATAATCGCAAATCAAAAGTGCAATATTTTGTGCTTTGGTTCACTTCCCAAGAAACGAAGCAGCCGGGATACCGAACCCAGTCAGAGCGGGTGGGTCTGCACTCAAGTGTAACGGCTGGTTCATTTGCAGATGCCCTCACGGCTCATTGTGTGTGTATATATAGAGATGTTGGGTTTTGTAAATACATGCTCATTTTTTGTGTATAACATTTTGCAATCAACAGACATCATAACATGTCATGTATACAAGTATCACACCTGCCTGTCTGTGTAATTACATAATGTGACAGAGACCGAACTCGGGCCATAATCAATGCATTTTGTTTATGGTGTATAGCCTGATAGGTGTTAAGTTCAAATTGCATGTGGTCAGTGATTGAAATTGTGTATTGAATATTGTCATCAGCAGACAGGCAGGCAGACATATAGGTGTCAATAAAACAGAAATTGAGTTTTGTCTGTGACAACGATATATCTATATCACAGTTAGAAATTCTGTCAACGCTAAATCATGACATTGCTTTTAAGTATCGAACTGAGAAAGTGACTCGGTAAGAAGAACGTGTGGTGAAATAGACAAATGAAATTATATAAACAGTTAAATCGGTAATCTACTTAATAACATCTAAAAAGCTCGCGCCTCTGAAATATCAACAAAACATTAGAAAAAAAGCTCACACCAAAGCCTTCACCGAGTATTCACCGGACAACCCGCTTCCAAGCTGCGCGAACCTATTTCAATGCGCATGTGCTATGAGCGCAGCCCAGCTGTTGAAACCAATTCAATTCCCCCAAGCGCTGGGGGAAAATTAGTGAATCGTTTGAATTACGATTTCGCGCGGTTTTTCATCGCGTTATTTTTCAAATTTATAAGTTGAATTTGCATTTTTGATGATTTGTTTCGGTAAGTCCATACCGAAAGGTATCAGAATCTGCAAAGTTGTGTTTTACTTTGCATGTGACCTTTAATGATAACCCTATGTGATCGCCCATCAGTTAATGATAACCTTGTGATCATCCATCAGTTAATGATAACCTTGTGATCACCCATCAGTTAATGATAACCCTATGAGATCGCCCATCAGTTAATGATAACCTTGTGATCATCCATCAGTTAATGATAACCTTGTGATCACCCATCAGTTAATGATAACCGTTGTTACACAAAGCAATGTCTCAGTCGCGCACCTGTCACTAATTTCAGCGTCATGGCGTGAACATCATACCGAGGAGCTCTGTCCCTCAGAAAGCCACTGTTTCATTACACCTGCTTACAAATCGACACCCCAAGCAAAAGTAAAACCAAAACCAAAAATGCAAATACCCGATTCTCTCTTTGTCCCGACTGAGACAATGGGTAATACCGATTTGGAATAGGGACCCAGAAACCTATGCATGCCTGAGACAAGGGAAATTCGAGGTTGGAGTAGGGACCTAGTAACCTATGCATGCCTGAGACAAGGGAAATTCGAGGTTGGAGTAGGGACCTAGTGACCTATGCATGCCTGAGACAAGGGAAATTCGAGGTTGGAGTAGGGACCTAGTAACCTATGCATGCCTGAGACAAGGGAAATTCGAGGTTGGTAGTAGGGACCTGCAGTGACCTATGCATGCCTGAGACAAGGGAAATTCGAGGTTGGAGTAGGGACCTAGTGACCTATGCATGCCTGAGACAAGGGAAATTTGAGGTTGGAGTAGGGACCTAGTGACCTATGCATGCCTGAGACAAGGGAAATTCGAGGTTGGAATAGGGACCTAGTGACCTATGCATGCCTGAGACAAGGGAAATTCGAGGTTGGAGTAGGGACCTAGTGACCTATGCATGCCTGAGACAAGGGAAATTCGAGGTTGGAGTAGGGACCTAGTGACCTATGCATGCCTGAGACAAGGGAAATTCGAGGTTGGAGTAGGGACCTAGTGACCTATGCATGCCTGAGACAAGGGAAATTCGAGGTTGGAATAGGGACCTAGTGACCTATGCATGCCTGAGACAAGGGAAATTCCAGGTGGGAGTGTGGCGTTCAACAACAACCAACCAAACCTGTGATTATGTTAACGATTACGTTGAGTATGGTGCCTCTATTATGCCTTAACGCCTGCACGACATACTTCTTCGGGGTGGCTTTGATTGAGCAGCTTCAGGAGCAGGAGGAGCTGAGTGACTCAGAGAATGTCACATACCAACCACTACGTGACATGTCACAGGACCTGGAGCGGATACTCGAGCACCTGCCGGGTAGGTGGGTGATGCTTGGTAGATAGGGGTTGGTTTGTCTGGTAGGTGGGTGATGCTGGGTAGAAAGAGTGCGTTTGTCTGGTAGGTGGGCGATGTTGGGTAGATAGGGGCGACACTTGTCTGGAAGGGGGGTGATGTTGGGTAGATAAGTGATGCCGGAGAGCAAGTGTGTACCTGTGTTACAGACCTGGTGTACTGGACGGGGGAGAGTGACATGTGTATATCTGTGTTACAGACCTGGTGTACTGGACGGGGGAGAGTGACATGTGTATATCTGTGTTACAGACCTGGTGTACTGGACGGGGGAGAGTGACATGTGTATATCTGTGTTACAGACCTGGTGTACTGGACGGGGGAGAATGACATGTGTATATCTGTGTTACAGACCTGATGTACTGGACGGGGGAGAGTGACATGTGTATATCTGTGTTACAGACGTGGTGTACTGGACGGGGATATCTGTGTTACAGACCTGGTGACGTGTACTGTATATATCTGTGTACTGGACGGGGAGAGTGACATGTGTATATCTGTGTTACAGACCTAGTGTACTGGACGGGGAGGGACATGACATGTGTATATCTGTGTTACAGACCTGGTGTACTGGACGGGGGAGGGTGACATGTGTGTATCTGTGTTACAGACCTGGTGTACTGGACGGGGGAGAGTGACATGTGTATATCTGTGTTACAGACCTGGTGTACTGGACGGGGGAGAGTGACATGTGTATATCTGTGTTACAGACCTGGTGTACTGGACGGGGGAGAGTGACATGTGTATATCTGTGTTACAGACCTGGTGTACTGGACGGGGGAGTGTGACATGTGTATATCTGTGTTACAGACCTGGTACTACTGGACGGGGTATATCTGTGTTAGACCTGGTGTGACATGTGTACTGGTCTGTACTGGACGGGGGAGTGTGACATGTGTATATCTGTGTTACAGACCTGGTGTACTGGACGGGGAATGTGACACAGGAGTGTCTCGGGACGAGCTGCTGGAGCTGCTGGCTGAGAAGATCGAGGAAAAGGATGTCCAGCACTGGGGAGTACAATGCAACAGAGCCATGAGGATGCTATTCCCGGAAGTACAGATGAAGAGGAAAGGAAAATACAAAACATATCCTTCCTGAATTTGAAACCAGGCAGATAAATAACAAAATTAAAAAGCCCCACCAAAATGAAAGCCATGAAGAGCAAGTCATTTGGGAACAACTCCGCTCAGCTTTTTCATCAAAAAATATTTTCCAAGGATAAAATTGCCTTATAGGTTTAACAACTGTTAAGTTTTCTGTAAAATATTTTCATGTCTGAGGCTGAATGTTATTTTATCAAAATGCCGTCTGAGGCGTTGGTCTGGATAACGATGGACTGTTAGTGTGGAGAGAGAGAGAGAGAGAACTGTGATTAGTACTTTGGACGGCTTGGTGCCTGTGTCCGTGTCTAGACTGGTTACTTATATACCCGCTGTGTGAATGTAGCGACTTGGTCTTATTAATAAGGCCGTGCAGCTATTTTTATACATGTAGCAGAGTTAATCACGTTTGAAGTCGAGGGCAGTGTTATTTAGATATACTGACGCGCAAAAGAAAATATACACCCATGTTTGCTTGGTGCTAAAATGCAAAATAAATTCTTTGCCGTTTTTCGAAATGTATCTGACAATAGTATAGTTGTGTTTTGGAGCGTTTTCTGCTGCTTTCAGCCTACCAACGTTTTGATAATGTTGGTAATTATGTGATGAAATCAAATTTCCAAGTGCATGTAGTTTGTTAACAACATTGATAAGTATAAATGGTTTGTAATTTCTGTGTGTGGTGTAGTCATATCTGTAGAATTGTGTCGTGTTCAGTCACTGTCCATTACCTCAGATGCGTCCCAGCATCCAATCATCTTGGTTCCCCATGTATTTATCAGTGGTCTGCCAGCATCATATATTGTCGGTTTGACCACGATCGTCTCATACTCCAACATGATCCGACCTTCTTCCACGAAACTTAAATATTGGTCTACTATTAAACTACTAAATCCAACTCACTCACACACTTTGCATCTGAATCAGTTGAGATATTGGTACACACATATAGCAGTATCTTCCTTAACTCCCACACTACAGTATTCTTCGGTGTTGATTACTCCAAGAATCTACAGAAACAGGTAAGAATTCGAGATCTCGAAATCAAGTTAGATACTTTTACAAAAGATCACTTTCAGTTTCTGTCACTGGTCAGGTAATTGCCATGTTCAAATTTATGAAAACTAAAACAAAATCAATGATTCGTTTTCATAGAAACAGCTAACAAACTGTGTCTCCTGTAGGGCTACGATCTACTGTCGAATCTGAAACATATAACAAACTGTGTCTCCTGTAGGGCTACGATCTACTGTCGAATCTGAAACATATAACAAAATGAGTCTCCTGTAGGGCTACGATCTACTGACGAATCTGAAACATATAACAAACTGTGTCTCCTGTAGGGCTACGATCTACTGTCGAATCTGAAACATATAACAAAATGTGTCTCCTGTAGGGCTACGATCTACTGTCGAATCTGAAACATATAACAAAATGTGTCTCCTGTAGGGCTACGATCTACTGTCGAATCTGAAACATATAACAAACTGTGTCTCCTGTAGGGCTACGATCTACTGTCGAATCTGAAACATATAACAAAATGTGTCTCCTGTAGGGCTACGATCTACTGTCGAATCTGAAACATATTTCCATGTTTTCCGTCCAGAGTTTTATTCCCACCAAGCGAGGGCGTCCCCGGAAGCTGAACGACGACGAGGACGACCAACCCTATCCCGCTGTCTCCAACACCCCCTTCGACAAGAGCATGTTAGCCTGGAGAGCGCAGGTACCCCCGGCCCCTGAGGTCGCTCCCTGTCAAAATAGAACCCCAGCATATTCGCCATTGTATGGGACGTCTTTGATGTGTTAGTTTGTTGTTTTAAACGCGATATTCTAGGTATGTGAATCTGAAGTTAGTCGAATTTGGACCAGATAATCCAGTGACTGATATTGTGAGCAACGTCAGTGGCGTCAGGTTATGATGACGCACAATCAGGAATGTCACCAGTCAAACTTTTCAATATGGCTGAAATACTGCCCATGTGACTAAAATCTTAACTCACTCACTCACTCAATCCTTTCATTCGCCTCTTATCTCCTGCTGACGGTCAGTGTAGGTTGTTTGGGAGCATTCCCACCACGGATAGCCTCTCCGGGGAAACCTGCCTGAGATTCCGTGACAACACTATAAGCATGTGACCTGAGAGAATTGTGTGGATTTCCACACATTTCGAAAGTGTTGTGAAAGTTAAGTTCTGTGGCCTTTACACGTTGAAGGTTTCTTCTTTGTTGATGTCCGCTGCTTTAACTAATCGAGAACAAGAATGATATCGTCGATGTAACATATATTATATTTGGGGTTACACTTTCTCAGCAAAGTTCAAATTCTAGAAATTTATTGGGCTGAGTTCCATCTTGGATTCGAACCCACACTCTCAGAGTCAGGCACCTAATCCGTCTGTAGTGGTGTCCTTTTTAAAGACATTTACCTGTAGGTTTATTAATTAAGTTCCATTAAGCAGGGAGACTTTTTAAAGACATTTACCTGTAGGTTTATTAATTAAGTTCCATTAAGCAGGGAGACTATTATCCCTGCATTAAGTTACCTGAACATGATTCAGTTACATAGCTAATCCCTAATCAACTGGGGTTAATCCATTCTATCAGATAGGGGAGTATGGTGTGCGTTCTTTGTTAATTACCTACTCCATTGTCTCACAACTGGGAGTCTCTCAATTGGGAGTTCTCACAAATGGGAGTAGACCTCTGTAGTCAGAGTGTTGCTGTATGGCTGTTTACAGAGATTGTAGACGTCACGGTCTGGTGCACGTATTCTGATTAGATCTAGACGCTGTAATTGATGTGTGAAACTGAGTCCCTATGTAATTAGGGTTATCGGTAATGCCAGATTGAGCGACGTTATAAAAGTTGAGATTGTACAAATTGTACAAATGTATGTACTTTGTAGCCGAGTACAGTGTTTAGGGCCCGTTCATTAAACAAAATATCAAACTGTTTGCCATCAATGTCTAGTACAATGGAGTTAGTGAGTATGGTTTTACCATTGGTACTGTTCCAGCAATAACGCAGCGGGGCACAAAAAATATGGGCTTCACACATTGTACCCTTGAGGGGAATCGAACCCGGGTGGTCATTGAGCGAACGCTTTAACCAGTAGATAACACCATCACCTACAGTGTTATATCTACACAAAGTTAGTCTAGTTTTAAGAGTTTTGTATGGGTAAGCTAAATGAAACAACATGTTCATGTAACATCAGTGATTGAGTGCTGTTTTACGACGCTCTGGACACTGAGTGGAATCACGGCGTGTCACCTCCCCAAATGTATGTACATTGTTGAAATTTCTATCCGAATAACGCCCATTTTGGCAGTCGCTAAATTGCCACAGTTAACAACAATAATGTCACTAATTAACTGTAACGTGAGACATGTTCGAGAGTTAGACAGGGAATAACGCTTGTTTTGATTGAAGAGCTGTGTCAATTATTGTAACTTTAAAATAGTGTGTCATAATGTGGGAATTGATGGGCGAATGAGGTAACGACTTATCACTGCCGGCGAACCCATGAAGATGCAAGTTAGAATTGATCTTCAGTGACCCATGCTTGTGGTAAGAAGCGACTAACGGGATCGGGTGTCAGGCTCACTGACTTGGATAACACATGTCATCGTATCCCAATTGCGTAGATCGATCCTCATGGTGTTGATCACTGGATTGTCTGGTCCAGACTCAGTAGTTTACAGACCGTCGCCATACAGCTATAATTGTTTCACTGAATACTGCTGGTGGCTCCTTATATGACAGTACTGTATACTACCATAGTTCGTTATAGTTCGACATTTCGATATACCGTCATATCTATAGTTTTAGTTCGTTTTTATTCTAGTTTTAGTAACGAACCATAGTTCGTTATAGTTCGACATTTCGATATACCGTCATAACTATTGCTTTAATTCGTTTTGATTCTAGTTTTAGTAACGAACCATGGTTCGTTATAGTTTCGACATTTCGATATACCGTCATATCTATAGTTTTAGTTCGTTTTTATTCTAGTTTTAGTAACGAACCATAGTTCGTTATAGTTCGACATTTCGATATACCGTCATATCTATAGTTCTAGTTCGTTTTGATTCTAGTTTTAGTAACGAACCATAGTTCGTTATAGTTCGACATTTCGATATACCGTCATAACTATTGCTTTAGTTCGTTTTGATTCTAGTTTTAGTAACGAACCATGGTTCGTTATAGTTCGACATTTCGATATACCGTCATCACTATTGCTTTAGTTCGTTTTGATCCTAGTTTTAGTAACGAACCATAGTTCGTTATAGTTTGACATTTCGATATACCTTCATAACTATTGCTTTAGTTCGTTTTGATTCTAGTTTTAGTAACGAACCATAGTTCGTTTTAGTTCGACATTTCAACATATAACATACAAGTGGGCGGGGGAGGCGAGAGGGGAAATAGTTCGGTACATCTGTCAGTTCGTTATAAAGGAATTTACTGGATTTCCTTTAATAATCTCGTCTGTTTCAGATGCAGCACATGAAATACCTCTCCCAGCCTCGTTTCCAGCATCACTGGAAGGGGGAGGATGGCAGCCCTCTCCTTCCCCAGCTACCCCAAAGGAGGGGACAACAGAGATCTCCAAAGACTACAACTTCCTAGCAGCAGAACTGAGAGGTTCCTACACCAACTACCACCCGCAACCCTTCGGGTACAACCACGTGTACTCATCCACGGTACAGCACAAACCGGAAACAGAGATCGAAACGGATACCAGTGCGGCCAGCATTACAGACGATAGTGATCCACGATTGGATAAAAATGGACGCGGATCCCCCAAAGAGGAGGAATGTGTTGGGAAGTAACGCCTGTGTCTGACTACGGGATATATATTCGTGGAGATTCTGTGTTCTCGATGGAATCGATTCAGTCAAGGAGGTGGTAAATACGTCGAGAATGAATGCGTTGGTCGAGAGTGTGGACGAATAACCGAGTCGGAGAAGATTCGCTGCGAGGTTTAAACATTTTAATGGAAGCTTCCTGAGTGAAATATAAAGAGTTACGCCTGCCAATTGCAAATTTCAGCTGAAGGACATGTTGGCCAGGAGCAAGGATGTCAACTGTGACGTCACCACCGAGCTTCCAACTGCTGACAGCCACACGGACACATACGCATCCATGTTTCTATCTGGTGAACAGATTCCATTGATCTTGTGACACTAATGAAAACACGAGGAGACTGTGAATGCAGCTGCGTCTTCTACGTGTCACGTGTTACATCTATCAGATATGAATGCTGTATGTCCTTGTACAATGCCACCTCATTAATCGGGACTAAAACAGATCTCACTGTATCATCCACTCATTACCATTGCCACAGTATTGTCATGGAGATCTGAAAATACTTGTAGTGTTACCATGGTTACAACAGTTGCTGGTATTTACTGCAAGAGGTCTTAACTATTCCTCAAGACATGTAACTCCTATGCACCTCAGACTAGTTTCGGGGAAACAGTATTCAAACTTAGTTCACGTCCACTCGTGTCATTCCGGTACGAGCCGAATGGTGAGTTTACGGAAAGTAGCGAGTGGTGACGAATGTCACCAGAGACCATATGGTCTCTGATGTCACGGAGGAAGACGTCGTAAGCTACAAATATTGAGGACCAGAAAAATGATCAGTTATCTGCTGACTGAGACAAGAAATGCTGATATTTGGCCATCACGCTGCAGGAGTCCACACGGACAATCTACCCTGGCCCGGAGCTGTACATCGTGTCCCTGTTAACTAACTTCTACTGTTAATCAATATTACATGTGGCAGTTCAGTTTATTGTTGCAGCGCTAGTCTAATGATTAAGAAATGTCTTTTAATTATTTACATATATTTCCCGAAATTCTGTTTGATGTTTTAGCGTTCACATGCATTGCATTAATTTCTTGTTTTAAACTGCAAGTCAGAGATCAATCACGTAATGTTCCTAGATCAAAAATAGAGGTTTTGTTGCTGGCATTTTTGTAGAGCCAATATTTCAAATTTGTCAAACACCATTGGTGCTTTCAGCAATATCGTTTTATTGTGCAATGTAATATATATGACAGGAGAACTTTATCCATCATTCACGGTGAGTGCTTGGGTGGATGAGTGAGTGTGTGAGCGGATTAGTGGGTGAGTGAGTGAGAAGGTCAATGAGGGGAGTGATGGAGTCATTTAAATCAGTCTGTCACACGTCATTTAGGATCAGCTTCAGAAAATGCACCGAGATGCACTCTTAAATGTACGTTTTCATAGTGTCAGAAAATAACATATTAGCTGTAGCCGGAGGCATAATAGGTAAACCGCTGCGGTTTGTGGTTTCTATTTTCCAACAGTGGTTGATAGTGCGAGGAACGATTCACGCCAATAGGCGGATCCAGAGCGGGGTCAGGGGTGCGCAACCCCCCATCCCCACCCCTTTGTCCTGAAAATTTATGAAATGACCATTGAAACTCTCGTGAAAACGGGTGAAAATGAACTGTGCACCCCTCCTTTCTCAAAAAGTTGTATCCGCCCCTGACGCCATACTACCATGGGAAGAGATCGGTATCCATCTATAGCCGCCATTGTGTTCCTCCTATCCACAATTACAGTGATAGACTAGACAGAGAGAGGCTGCCGATGGGTAGTTCTAAAGGTATTTGTTGAAATGGGTGCCACCCGTGCAAAGGACGATTACAAGGTGTGCTATCAGAGGACAAACAATCCCATAGGGAAAGACAAATCGAGATATATGCACTCTTGTTCACTGTTGTATTAATCTGATATATATTCGTTGTGGTTTTCGATAAACCCTGATTATTTTTGCAGGTTTGTCTGCACCGATGTAAACTTGATCTTCAGTAACCCATGCTTGTCGTAAGTGGCGACTAACGGGATCGGGTGGTCAGGCTCGCTGACTTGATTGATGCGATGCGATGATTGTCTTCGTATCCCAGTTGTTGATTATGCTGTTGATCACTGGATTGTCTGGTCCAAACTCGATTATTTACAGACCGCCGCCATATAGAGGGAATATTGCTGAGTTCGGCGTAAAACTAAACTCACTTTCCTTAATCAGGTTCACGTCCCGGAAATGGAAACTATACTGTCCAAGGCTAAACACTGCCTCCCCACATAGGGTAGACGGAATGTGCAGCGCATGTGGTTTGTTGCGCATGGTCAAAGGGAGGCAACTTTGAGGACAAAACACCCCCACAACATGTTCGACAATGAAACGTTCAGTGACATCTGTTGTTCAACCAGCAAAACAAAATTCAACAATACTTGAACATAATAACTTATTTCATTTGGACACAAACCAGCTAGGTTTCATTTGCTCAAAACTCATTTATAATGTGTTCGTCATCACTAAGGTGTACCATGGTACCATTGTACTAATTTGTGACATAATTCAGCCATTATGGGCGAAGAAAATACTTCAGTGGTAATAGTTCACGGACTTAGTTCGAGCCAGCGGCACCAGATTAAAAGACATATGAAATCCGTCAGAGTAGGAAACATGGGTTGCACGTGCAATTACCACCAGTGTCAGGACTGCACATGTTGAAGTTTTAATAGAGTGAGTGAGTTTAGTATTACGCCGCTTTTAGCAATATTCCAGTAATATCACGACAGGGGATACCAGAAATGGGCTTCACACATTGTACCCATGTGGGGAATCAAACCCGGGTCAACGGCGTGACGAGCGAACGCTTAAACCAGTACACTATCCGAACCGCCCTCTTTATTTGAGAAAAGGCGTGTGATTTTAAAATGCTCACAGCAATCAATCTAATGCAGCATTACCTGTTCTCTTCGCGGTAAATTATATTTTATAGTTCCTTTGTCACCGATAATTATGGTTGTTGTTGGGTTTTTTAAAGATGCTAAGAAGGTTTTTTTAAGGGCTCAAGAGCCCAAATATGTTGGTCCTTTTATGATAAATTTACATTTTTAAAAAGGAGTCGAAAGTGGGGCCTGTGATTACGAGGGGTGAATGATCAGTTTGTTTTGGCCTTTTGAATTTGTAGAGTTCAAACAAAAACGTTTATGTTAGAAACACGCCACACTTGTTTTGTTCACATGAGAATGTTTCCTTGGTCCAGTCATTCAGACATTCGGAAATCTCGCACCGTTCCGGTCATTCGTGACCAATTCGTGTTATTCCGGGACAAGCCGAATAGCGATTCTTGGTGGTTACGGAAAGGGGCGAGTGGTGACGAATGCGTTCCGGTATTAATGGCGAAGTTCGTTTTACGGAAATAGGCGAATGGTGGCGACTTATGCCGGAAGTTGCATAATGTAGCGGTTAACTGATATCGTACGATTGTTTTACTGGTTGTAAATATATATTGTTTTTGTGCAATACTGATCTCAAGTGTCCTGGACACGTTGCATAATGTATTTATTTACAGTTTATATATGTGCGGTATATCACAAAGTTCTTGTTATAAACATTTATCGGACTTTAAAACATGGTATACAGTGTTTATTCCATTGCAATGTCATTATTTCAAGTTATGAACACGAATTGCAATATTTTACGAATCCATGATTTGTAAAGAAAGGTGAAGACGATTATTATTTACAAATGGCTACTCGCAGGCAACTTAATTTTTATTATTTTACTTTTTTTACCGAAATATTATTTGAGAGATTATTGACAAACAAATAATATTGGCCTGCTCATTATATTACGAAACAGTTTCCTTTTTCACTTAACACGAATATTTAAGATGGGACCAGATTTTGACTCACAACTCATCTTAATGATCGATTTTTCGTCTGGCAATTTTTCTTATATTCTACCAAAGTTCAAGAATACGGGAATTTAATCCAAAGTGTATCTGTTACATGTTTTATTACTGAAGTAAAGTATCGGATGGAGACTGTATAGTTGCTATGCGTTATATGAGCAGTTTTCCGGTTGAATACGATGCTTTATCAGGTTGCATTTCTGTGATTTTGACGAGAAATGAATAAAAGTGATTCTTTGAACAACACATTTCATTGCTTTTACTTGTTTTGTTTTTTCTGGGAGTTGTGTCCCTTAGTACCAGGATCCGATGAACCAGGGAGACTATATAACGGGGAGTGGTCACTCCTCGAAAAGACCCTTAGCGTATGCCTCGGCTCGTCACGTGACCAGTGTAGCCAATATGGCGGAAGGACGTTCCAGGACCTACAGTATTTTACTTCCAACTAAGAAGCGCTACCGGACAGCAAGATGTATATCAAACATAATATACGGAAGAGGACGAGTGTTTTACATACTTTTTTCAATCACTGCATCAAGTCATAAAATATGTGGGGTAGCCTAGTGGTTAAGGCGTTCGCTCGTCACGCCGAAGACCTGGGTTCGATTCTCCACATGGGCACAATGTGTGAAGCCCTCGCTGTGATATTGCTAAAAGCGGCGTAACACTAAACTCACTCACTCATAAAATATGTTCCGTACAAGTGGCTCATATTTCAAAAATCAGTTTGATGATCGAACAGTATGTATGTCCAGCAAACTATCATTTATGATTTACATATTTTCATCAGTTTCTGAAGCTAAGAAAGTTCCGTTTAGTACGTGAGTAGTTCAGACGAATCCATCTATGTAGGCAAATTACAATGGACAGGCGGTCGGTCATTAAGTCGGCTGCATGCATGCGACGCTTCTGAAATGAAGCGTACGTAAAATCCATCAATCCTCGCATCGTTAGAGAACACCGCAGCGGTTTGTTTCTGATCGAGTCTGGACAAGACACTCCAGTGATATACATAATGAGCATCGATCTACGCAATTGGGATAAGATGACATGTGTCAATCAAGTCAGCGAACCTGACCACCCGTTAGTCGCCTCTTACGACAAGCATTGACTGCTGCAGACCAAGTCTAACTCGAATCTTCACGGGTGTCTTAATCCCTTCCGTTGCGGCAAACTGAAACCTACATATCACGTGGCTATCAATGTGATACACAGCGAACACAATGTAATCGAGTTAACCCGGCCCCCATTAAACCAGAAACCGCCCTTTACGTACAGTAGGCAACACACAAACACACTTGATGAAATAAGCATGATGCGTCAATCTGGAAGTTGGATAGACCTTATAACCGAGGTCATGAGAAACAAACGTAATGGTTACTGCCTTGTGACGAAAACGTCAGTTCATCAAGCACCAAGACCTGGTAGATCCCCTCAATAGTACAGGCGGTGGAGATATAGCCTAGTGGGTACACTGTTCGCTTGTCACGTCCATTCCTCACATGGGTAGAATTTGTGAAGCCCATTTCTGGTGCTCCTGGTAGTGATGTTAACGGAATATTACTTAATTGCTAAAACCAAACTCATTCACTCACTGGTACAGTGTGTGGAGACTTTCCTTTGCATTCAGATCGCGATATCACCGGATTATCTATAATCCGTATTTTGATAACACCCTGAAATACCCGCCCACGCACTATATGTTCCACCGAGACACTACTAGACCCTAGACATGAAATCCATTTCTAACTTTTCATATGCCAGAATAAAGAAAAGTGGATACATATTTTTGGAAAAGGATAAGTGCGTTTTGGGATTTGTCAATTCTGGCGTAGTTGATGTGTAATTTTATTAAAAATCAACGACAATTGCTCACTGTGCTGTTTAATTGTTAAACTTAATTTAACACGTGAGCAATAGTAACTTAAAAATCGAAATATAGCTAACTTAACAACCATGCAATTAACCATTAACATGGTATAACAAAGTTCAATGATGTAAATATCCCGACAGTATGCGCTCCAATCATGTTATGGGGTAGACTGTAAATATCCCCAAGACCCGAGTCAATCCCCACATGGGCACAATGTGTGAAGCCCATTTCTGGTGTCCCCCGCCGTGATGTTGCTGGAATATTGCTAAAAGCGGCGTAAAACCAAACTCAGTCAGTCAGTCAGTCAGTCCAATCACACAGAGACCCAACCATTGCTGTGAATAACTGCAACGATTCAAATGGACGACTGCTCGCGTGACTTATATTTAAACCCTAACGCTACTGACAACGCCCTCCGTGGTGATTGGTGTATACAAGAAACATTGAGACACCATTAGTATATGTTTGGACTTAATCCGGATTATCAAGAAATCGGCGGATTAATTACTTCAATAGCGTTAATTCATTAATCCCTGGCAACCGTGACGACATACAACTCTCGGCGACCTAGCGAGTGGTCAGAACGTTCGCTGTCCGGCTCTCAGCACTGGTCAGAACCTTCTCGGACAGGTAGGTCACACAGCAGCAGCGTGTTGGTCTCTCACATTCCGATTTTTTTGCTAAGGCCACACATTTTTTATTACTTGGTTTACGGATTTTTACAGCAATATTCCTGTCGGTAGGTGGTTAAAAAATTTGAAAAGCTATTTCAAATTTTTCCCCCTAAGTGGCTTACACAACAAGGAGGCTGTTTCAAAAAATAGAATATGCCATCAGCCATTGAAATCTTCTCATTTCCCACTATTAGGGTTTTAAAAAATCCAGCATTTTCACTCGGTAACGTTAATTCCGCGATTTTATTTGTTTCGATATTTCTTTTCCAGTTTAAATTTTTTTACGGTGGGCGGATGCGTAAACCAAGTAATATAACATGTGTGGCCTAATGATGTTTCGAGGTCAGTAGTTGGTTTCACCGACGTTGTAAGCATCTAAATCGGGATCACTTCGCTCGTTCCTCCGACATCACGTTTTACTCTGTCATATCACCGTGATATTGTTCAAAGTGGAGTTGAAACCATGTCACCTCTTTTAACGGAAAGTGTTCATTGATGAAAGGATCTACCCAGACCAAAACGACCAGACAGTATGAACAGTTAGCAACCAAAATTCAATATTTTTCGATGATTGTTTTTGCTAAAGACATGGCTGCATTTCTTTCATAGCTCCTCAACTTTAATGTATCTAGCCACGGAGGCATTACATCTGCAGGTTGTTAGATGTCATGTTGCCATGGAGATTGCACACTCAATGTGATCAATGGGGGACTTATCGCCTTAGTAATCGAAGGGAGGTAACTCTGTGGAGATCAGGAGGTGAACCCTACCGACATCAAGCTACACATAGGTGAACAAGTTCGGATGTATTGTACAACTGCTGGTGTTTGGTTTTCGATAAATGATGACAGGTTTGCGATATTTAACAATCTACGTACACTTTATAGTAAGTCGTGGAATGTTTTCAGTTTCGGCTCAGCGTCAGGAATAGAGAATATTGTTTGCGTCCCTTTCAGAAATAATCATAGATAATAACCAAACTGAGATTGAAACTAGGTGTTCATCGGGACGACCAAACGCCTTGACTCAGCCATGAATTCTTTACATTTTCGGGAAAAGAGTTATAGTTCAATGCATTTATGTGATATCAGGCTAAGAAGTAGCAGTCGTTAACATATAATATATGTTTGTTTTCTCCTTGACCGTAAGCCGCCATATAGCTGGGATATTGCGGGGTGCGGCATTTAGCAGCTACCAACAACCAGCCTTAATCCTAGGTAGCGTGACGTGTTTGTTGCTGGAAAAAATAAACTGAGGTGATATGGTTCCTTAATGTTCACAGGTACAATTCTGTTATGATCACATGACGCTTTCTAGATTCACGTTACCATAGAGACGTTTTAGTCTGTGATATTCTGTGTGGGGTTCCGGACAAATAACACGCAATAACAAGACGGGGGACACCAGAAATGGGCTTCACACATTCGGATTACCCATGTGGGGATAGAACTCGGGTCTTCGGCGCTCCGAACGCTTTAACTACTAGGCTAAAAACCCCACTTCCCTCTGTGGCACTTGTCTCTGTCACACATCACTGATTTCATAGGCCACAGAGGGAAGTTGATTAGAGGCCACAGAGGTACAGGTCACCAGTTTCAATTATAACGAGGTGTGAATGGCTCAAGTTTATTACTGCTTAATTAACTAGTTGTTAACGGGGTATAATTAACTAATTGTTATATCGCTACTGATGGTATTATGGTGATTTCTTCAATATCAGACATGCGTGGATATTGCTGACAGTGGCGTTCGTTAAACAACAGATGTTTGGGGACTGAGTTCACACAAAGGCTGTATTGATCGTTTCACACTTTTGACCACTGGTTTGTTTGGCTGAAACTCAATTACTTACTTACACAGTTGAACTATTTGTGAATGCGGCGTAAAACAAAATCAATCACCCACTCGGCATTTCACATCTTACTTCAACTCCTTAACATAACGGGAGGTGGAGTAGCCTAGTGGTTAAAGCGTTCGCTCGTCACGCTGAGACCCGGGTTCCATTCCCGACATGGGTACAATGGGTGAAGCCACACACTGGTGCCCCCCGATATTGCTGGAATATTGCTAACAGCGGCGTAATACTCACTCACTCCTTAACATAATGTAATAGTGAGATGTAACCCAGTACGCTTGAATTAACCCCCCTGCCAGTGGTGGCACTGCTTTTCAGTGTTTTGAGATAACATACGTTCATAATAATATAATATTAATAGTATAATATATACAATAACAATATACTATTATTCATAACAATTATTCAGTTATAGTGGTATAGATTAGACAACAATAAATCTCTCGATTTGTCTGGTGCGATGTGTTAGGTTTTGAGTGGTGATGGGAGGGTGCTGGTGGCTAAAGTGAACTACGGGCTTTGCAGATTTCTAAGGACAACGTGCTCGTGTCTTTAAAGTAGCAGATGTCTGTGATTTGGGTGACTTTGTGTCCTCCTTGTGGACATGGTTTAAGGCAGCATTAAATCCTCTCACTATAGATATATCTGTGACGACTAACATTTGCCTTCTCTGTTACAGGCATCACGTGGCATAGTCTCCTAACTGTTGCACAATGGAGTGGCATCAGAAGTACCTGGAGACTCTCTCGGAGGGAATCAAGTACCTGTGGACCAGCGGTCACTTCAGCGATGCCAGTATTGTGGTGCAGAACAAGCGCTTCCGGTGTCACAGAGCGGTCCTGTCCGCCATGTCACCTCATTTCGACGCAACCTTCTCATCGGGCATGCGCGATAACCCCGACGGGACCTTGACCTTGCTGAACATTGACGTCACGACTTTCGACAGCGTCTTGATCTTCATGTACACAGGACGTGATGTGGTATGCCAGGAAAATGCCGAGAGTTTGCTTCGGGCTGCGACGACGCTCCAAGTTAAAGGATTGATTGACCGGTGCGAGCAGTTCCTGTGTGAGAACCTTACCAAGGAGAACTCGATACGCATGTGGAGGTTAGGGCGCACTCATAACTGCCAGGACCTTGAGGAAACAGCATGGCCGTTGATCCTTGACAATTTCCTTGACTTGACAAAGACAGAGGATTTCAACGATCTGTCAGTCGACGAACTGGCAGCAATAATCAAAGATGACGAATTGGTGGTGTCAAATGAGGAGATGGTATGCGAAGCTGTCTTCAAGTGGATCGCAGTGGACTCTGACAACAGGAACATGCATTTAGCTTCTATCATAGAACATCTCCGTCTTCCACTGGTGAGTCCCGAGTACCTCCTCAACATCAGTACCTCACAGGGCCTACTTCGTGATGATATGGTGTGCCGTGTGATGTTGGAAGAGGCCAAGAGGTACCACATGCTACCCGCACGTCGTCAGGAGTTTACGTCCAAGAGGGTTGTTTTCAGGAACAGCTTTGATCCAGAAGAAGTCCTCGTGGTCCTGACAGGAGGCTCCACACAGACCAAGCCTACTGACGTCCTTTGCTACAGCTTCAAACAGTTCAAGTGGTTCTTCCTGGCCCCACTGCCGTACGACCCAGGTGTAGAATTTGCTGCATGCACTTACGCCAGTAATATTTACATTTCCGGAGGAAGCCGGAAATGGCCGAAGTTGTTCAAGTATAACAGCGAGAGTAACGACTGGCGTGAGTGTGAGCAGATGGCTCAAGGTCGGTCCAGGCATGGGATGGTGGCGGTTCGGGATTCCCTGTATGTTATCGGTGGATACAATCGGAACCTCCCTGCTGGAAACAAGGTCATCTCTTCCATTGAGAAGTACAGCATCAACACGGGTAAATGGTCCATAGCGGGCGAACTGCCAGTTCCGGTTGAGATGGTATCGGCTTCTGTGATAGGAGAAAAGATCTTTTGCTTCGGGGGCGCCCAGAGAAACAATCGGAACACACCAGCGATACAGTGCTTCGACACAAGGATAGGCCAATCCTCCCATTTCGCCGATCTTCCATTCGCTTGTCGTCTGACTCGTACCGTTGTCTGTGACGACAGTCTGTTCATCATCACCACCGACGGCGACGTAATAGAGTTCTCAGAAGACAGCGGTTGTCGTACGATTGGTAAGATCGAGAACTTCGGGCGAGTGCACTTCGGAGGAATTCAGTATCGAGGAAATGTCATTCTTCTGGGGGTTAAAAGAAGAAGCGACAAGGCTTGTGATACCATGCTGAGCTTTGACCCACTTAAAGCTGGCGCGGAAACTCTCCCAGACAAACTGCCCTTTCCGAACGTCATCGACGCATGCGTGAAGACAATCATCAATGGGCACTATCTGAGACAAGAGTATATTCCACGCACCAAGTCTCAGCTGAACAGTGTCAGCTAACTGTCTAAAGACACTTCACAACATCTTTTGTAAAGGTTGAAGAAACAGAATCAAGTTCATTTCAAAATGATTCAGAAAAAAGCGTTGTCATTGTCTAGATTACAGAGTAGTTTTGTCAGGTAATTTCGTTATATCGGCTGTCTATCCAAACTGGTATGATGATTATTTAAAACAGAGATCATAACACATTCAAAAGTCTTAAATAGATTTTGATCTAATATTATCTCGATTCTGTATCACAATACGCATCATTGGAATGTTCTTACAATAGTTTTGTTTAGCTGAATGTTGCTATGCCAACCACATGGGGCCCCATGCGAAGATTACAACGTGTTTGTATTTATTTTCTGTATTTATTTCTATTTTTATTTATTTGTACAAAGCATTATGGGAGTGAAAAGAAAGCGTGACAGTTCAATGTAGTATTTTAGTTATGTACATACTATGACATTTTGTTAAATAAACATACTTATGAAGTAAACCTGTTATTTCTGCCTTGGTAACATATGTCTCCATACCCTGTCTCATAAATTCCTCGGAAAAACTCAGTATCTCGTATAATGTTGTTTAACGCCTCAATGTTGTTTAACACCTGGTGTATTGAGACTATTCCCAAATAAACAAATATTTTGCTAGGAACGTTGTAATTAGGTACGATATCTGGGGTTATTGCAAAACGTACACATTGTTTGTGACTTGTAAGTCACAATCAAAACACTCTTCTAATTTTAACGCTGTTTTTAAGAAACTATTTTACCAAAGCATCAAGTGTGTACTGTTTTTGTACGTCATACGTCGGTTTAGTAAAATCTGGTTCAGATTATCCAGTGATTGATGTTATGGGCAACGCTCACGTACGTTGCAGGGTGACACGGTGGTAGTCCAGTTACCTCTACCTGAGTATCCAATTCCTTTCGCTGCCGGTTACCAGAAGCCTGGGGATCTAAACATCCCCCCACAAAGACTTTACCGTTAGAGTTTTACTCGAATCTGGATCAGTTAATTCAAGTATGGACCTAGACGATTGTGTGTCGTTGTTAAACATGGATAGTTGCTCATGTTTTCAACCATTGGTTGGTTTGGACAGGTGGTTACCTGTTGTTTTAACAGTGCCGGGCAAATGTACTCCTACACCTCCCGGCCGCCTCCCGACCGTCTCCCTGGTGTAGTGGTTAGAGCGTCCGCCCGGAGAGCGGAAGGTCGCGGGTTCGATCCCCGACCGCGTCATACCATAAGACGTTAAAATATGGTACTTGTTGGTCCCTGCCTGACGCTCGGCATTAATGGGTACACCAAGGACTGGTCGGCTCGGAGTCAGTATAATGTGTCTGAGTGGGGTATTCATGCTTCACTGTGGCATGGTATCTCAGTGGGCTAGCACTATAAAGCCAGCTTCAGTCAGGGCTAGTACAAGCAGCCGTACATACACATACACACGCATGCACGTCGTCATATGAGCGAAATATTCTCAAACACGACGTTAAATCCAATTTCACCTCACCTCACCTACACTTCCCAGGGTTTAACCATGAAGTTAATAGACTGGAAAGGGTTGCAGAAACACACCAGACTTATGGGCCAAAACACCACTACTATACACAGTACTCCTGACACACTTCCAATATGTCTCCATGGAATAACAGCTAGTGCCATACTGGTTTACTTTTCCTTATTGAGGTGAAGTATAAATGCCGTTAAAACCCGTTGATGTCTGACCCTATCAACATCTGATGCGGAGATAGAAGTTGAGCACTTTATCACAAAAGTGATGGTTGTCTGACGTTTATCACGCTTTCATTGCATCCAAAATTGTGCATCCATTTGTAATGCTTTCGATACATTCCAAGGACGTTCTTTCGGAAGGTAATCTTTACAACACAGGTTTTTATTTGATAGCAATGTACCATATAATAGTAAAGACTTTACACAATTGCAGAACTGATGTATGGTGTTGTGATTGGTCAGTATCAGTAAAAGTACACTAAGATCCCATCATCTGACCAATCAGAGCCTCGCTTACGAGACTGAAGAAGTGAAAGTCTGAATGTGTTTGAAAACCTCGGCAATTAACGCGGGGCATTCCGAGAGACACCTGAATGCTGGAGCTGGACATCACATCACATCACATCACACCACATCACATCACATCACATCACACCACACCACATCACACCACATCACATCACACACACCACATCACATCACATCACATCACATCACACCACATCACATCACACCACATCACATCACACCACACCACATCACATCACATCACACCACATCACATCACATCACATCACACCACACCACACCACACCACACCACACCACACCACACCACCACACATCACACCACATCACACCACACCACCACACCACACCACACCACACCACACCACATCACATCACATCACACCACACCACATCACATCACATCACATCACACCACACCACACCACATCACACCACACCACATCACATCACATCACACCACATCACATCACATCACATCACACCACACCACACCACACCACACCACACCACACCACACCACACCACACCACAGACAGTCTGTAGGTAGCCCCGCTAAACAATCGCATGGTCATTGTTACAACAGTGATTTGATATGGTAATTAAGAAATACAAGTTGGACAACTGCATAGTATTTCTTTGGATGATAGTTTGCTTTCTGTGAAAGTACATATATTCTCAGTCATTCAATATAACCAAGTGGCAAGGAAATGCTGCTTAGGATTTCAATATTACCTATCACTGTCTAAGACTGTACCAACCACAATGAAAAGGTTTTAGGCTTTATGTCTTTTTATTGTTTATGACGTCACATAACTTGTGACGTCATGTATTCTTACGCTGTTCACTGTTCATGACTTCATGGCTTTTGTCCATCAGAACACTGGTTTGTGCTGTTTCTAATGTTTGTTTCAGTTTGTTAATGTAGCATGGTACAGTAGTCTCTGTAACATATATATCGTTACAGTATTTCAGTTGAAGAAGACTGCGCTATGGTGCTATTGATTATATCAGTATGCACAATGTCAATTAGAAAGTGGTCAAATGTAACATATGTTATATTTGGGATTACATTTTCTCAGTTGAGTCCCATCCGGGATTCGAACCCACACCCTCAGAGTCAGGCACCTAATCGCCAGCTCACAAAGTCAGCCACCTAACCCGCTCAGCCACCACGGCTTAAAAAAATGCTGACTTTGTGTGGTGGCGGTATTTATAATGGTGAGCATTACATTGGGAATACACCTAAAGGACCGATTCACCGTACACAGACAGCAAATTCGAGCTCCTAATGTAGCAAACTCATTGATGAATGCGTGAATGGCCAGTTTACTATCTTTCCGTTTTATCAATAATTTTACAATGATAACAATTACCAATGGAAAGAGAACAAATGTTCATGAGGTTTTTAAAAACCAGGGTTAATTTATAAGTATAATTTTGTAACCTTCCTAATGCATCTCAGTATGTATGTCAGATTGGGAAGGATCATGCCATGAACGCCACATGTGCCTCTCAAACGAGGCACATCATAGTGTAGGAGAAAAGGGGTGGGGGGGTGTTCTCTCCTGTGCAAGGCGAAATAGCCGACGTGTTAAGTTAAAGTAACAATATAAACCATCCAAGATTATGGTCTGACAAAAATGTTCATCATATCAGGGGCTTAATGATGAAACCCATGTCATGCCGACAATATCTTATTCTCGTCCATTTTGGGTATTCTTTTACTCAGTTTCTACATTCAAATTTCGGGCTAGTGAATTATTTTGTGGGCTAGTAACTTTCAGGCATAGCTAGCCTGACTAGGTAACAAAATTTGGAAACTATTTTTTTAAATATGTTTGACAATGTTTGAAATATGCTCGCCACCTTCAGTAGCCTGGCATTTGCATACAATACGTAACGACATCCCTATGTCATTAATGACGGACCACCTTGTAATACCGGGAGAATATCGTTTCTTTGGGGCTTTTTAAAGGTTACATAGTACAGGGAAGTATTTTAATTAGTCTGATGTTCGAATCCTTGTTTATAGGATGAGACACCCATGTCTGTCATACGTCACTTTCTTGATGCGAACGACTTCAGTTTTGTTGACAACTTTTAGTATCGGGCAACTTTTGGTGGTGGATGTAAGGCGTCAGTTAAAATACAGTGTATGAACGATATTTCCTGGAAGAAGATACTAATATTTCAAACACATTTTATATATTTATATGAAACATATGATGTTCGAATGTTATACATTAAATACAATGTTTACTGGACAGAAGGAAATAGATGTTTTCGTTTTTAGCTTGGGTCAGCGCGCCCGAATACACCCGTCGCTATGCGTATATGCACGTGGGTTTTAAAATCTCGTGCATTTAGTGGTGATAGCTGACGACAGCGTTAATCAGTTTAACATCGGCAGTTAGTTAGACAAATTGCTGAGGGACAGGGTCGTCCATATCGAGCTCCAGCCAGGAGTTACAAATTACTTAGTAGATTGCTTCAATTATCGTGAAGACATTTACACAGAAGCATAGAAGCTTAGTTAACATTCCCACTTTCGGTGAATGTACAGTGCGGGGATTTTTCATTGGGTTTACTGTTTTATTTCGGTTTTGGTGTATTAAATTCTGACATAATTATTTTGACTTTTCGTTTACTTTATAAATGGGGAATACGAACTGCCTCATTCCCATTTACACTGACGTAAGTACGGATATTGTTCCCGATGAGGGGATATGAGAACAGACTTGAGACTGGCACATCTCGATTGAACTTGTGTCTGATGAGTTCACTCTCTCGCACGTGCAGGGTGGTTCTTTCACCAAATAGCATGCTGCATGCACGAAGCTTTGTTCAACACAGTTAAAATGGGAGGAAGCGTCAGGTTAGACCTTGCCATTATGGCATTCGCCTATATGAACTCCCTTGTAAACAGGTCGGGGAGAACCTGAAAACGAGCTATAATATACTGAGTCAAAAAAGAAACTTCACATTCTTTCTTCAGGGCACTATAAAAGAACAAGAGATGGTAAGATGGTTAAATTGTTATTATTTCATTGCTGAGATCTGTGTGATGTACTCGATACACTGACAATGCCATAATCAGTTCCATTAGGCTACACCGCCGTTCCAAAACATGGGTATACAGAATGTCAAGTCACAAGAATAAAAATGCGAAATTTCTCAGTTCAGTTTCGTGTATGGACGCACGGCGCATTCACCACTGCCAAACACCGTCTCCTCATCGACTGCCTGATGCTTGTGAACACGTGGTTGGGGATTCTGTGCCATTGCTCTTGCAAGGCAGCGCCCATTCTCTTCCCACAGAGGTTACTTGCCATACCTTCCTACGAACCTCTGTTCTAATACGGCCCTTTCATGGTGCGAGTGTTCAGGATTCGTGATTGGTTGCAATCAGATTTAGTTGTGCAATCAGCGACGTTGTTTCAAAGGTGATCATTCGCAAGGCCTCGGTAATTTCCGTATGCTTCGGGAAAACTAGAACATCTTCCCTTGTGCGATGCGCAAACGTTTCTTCTAGACAGAACTCTGTCATGTTATGGCGGATCAATGGCGTCTCCATCGCCCTCGTTAACAACGGACAAGCTAGCCATTAAATGTCTTGTGTGTCACATCAACACAAGTCCCCGGCAGAGGGGAATATTTGTGGCCCCATATTTGCTTACGTTAGTCAAGTTGGATCTAAGCTGATGTAACACGTGTTCTGATTGGATAGAAAGAAGGGAGATAATTCGCGTTGCGATTTTTTGCCTCTAGGGGATTATTCGAGAACCGGGAAATATGGCCGTATTAGAACAGAGGTTCGTAGGAAGATATGACAAGTAACCTCTGTGGAAAGAGAATGGGCAGCGCCAAGTTCCTGCAAATTCTGAGGTTGGTTCCTAAGACCACGAAGCCTTCTCCCAAGTGCATCCCAAACGTGCTCTATTGGATTAAGGTCAGGGGACCTCGATGGCCAGTCCATGACGTTGATTCCAGCATTTTGAAGGAAATTTCGTGTCAACATCGCGGTATCATGCTGGAACTGTAGACCTGGGCCATGAGCCGCCATGAAAGGAACGAGTTCAGGGGTGAGCACCTGGTCGCGGTAAGCAGCAGCTGTGAGGTTTCCACGGATGACCAGAATTTGGGAACGGTTGTTCCCACAGAAAGCACCCCACACCATGCAACTTCCGCCCCCGAATCTGTCGACTTCCTGTACACAACATTGGGCATACCGTTCACGACGTCGTCTCCAGACCTTATGCCTGCCGTCCGCGAATCTGAGGGTAAACCTGGATTCATCGCTAAAGACGACTCGATTTCAGTCTCTCTGGGTCCATCGGAGGTGACGTTGGGCCCACAGCAGACGTTGACGTTGATGAAACGGCGTCAATATTGGCCCACGATATGGACGTCGAGAATGGAGATTGGCAGCCCGCAACCGATTTCGAATGGTCTGTGAGGACAGTCGACCTCTAAACATCTCAGCCCTGGTTCGTGTAGCCGGCAGAAATCTGTCACGTAGGTGACGTAGGACGATTTGACGGTCTTCTGCTCGTGACGTCACACGTGGACGACCCGACCTTGGGCGATCAGAAGTGGTGCCAGTTTGTTGTAGACGACCTCGCAAGTCATACACAGTACGACGGCTGCATCCCATAGCTCTTGCGACGTCAATAATTGATCTTCCCGCTTGCAACATGCCAACGGCACGTTCACGTTGCACATTTGACAATCGTGGCATTTCAAGTACCGTTAGAACTGTGGTTTAAAAGTGTTTTTTCAATTCTTGAGGCCAATGCAAAACGTGCATATGAAGAAAACTTCGATGCGAAGATCACGTGAACGACTGCACGTGCAAAACCTGATTTGGCACTAACATCATTTGCACGACGAATGGATGGGTTTGAGTGGGTTTTGCTAACGTTTTTCTAGAGTCGAAAGATAGGGATCCCATTTCGGATACATAGATGTATCATCAGAGAAAAATTATTCATTATTTTTCAAATTACATTTTGTGAAGTTTCTTTTTGACTCAGTATAGTTAGATCGAGCTATAATAGTTCAAACGAGCTTTATGCCTATAGGTCGATCGAGCTTTAATAGCACATACATGGAAGAGGCCCTTTAAGAACAACTTTCCGCACCGCGGTCATGGCATTGCTCCACTCAACTGGAATCGTCTTACCCATATTTGAAGCTACTTGCACCACAAACCCGAGCGTTTGTGATATATGAGCTGCTAAACTACCTAACCCTATGGACATTTACACTTGGGAGACAAAATAACACACCTGAAAACTGAAAATATACCCCGAAACTTAGAGTCCCACTTCGCGAACAGATACTATCTGAACTCAATTTGTTGACAACCACACGACACAGCCGGAATATTGAAGATATACATGTATATTACAAGTAGGTTTCCTTACACAACCACACGACACAACCGGAATATTGAAGATATACAAGTATATTACAAGTAGGTTTCCCAATCACACAACCACAGGACACAGCCGGAATATTGAAGATATACATGTATATTACAAGTAGGTTTCCTGTACACAACCACAGGACACAGCCGGAATATTGAAGATATACATGTATATTACAAGTAGGTTTCCCACACAACCACAGGACACAGCCGGAATATTGAAGATATACATGTATATTACAAGTAGGTTTCCTTACACATCCACAGGACACAGCCGGAATATTCAAGATATACATGTATATTACAAGTAGGTTTCCTTACACAACCACAGGACACAGCCGGAATATTCAAGATATACATGTATATTACAAGTAGGTTTCCTTACACATCCACAGGACACAGCCGGAATATTGAAGATATACATGTATATTACAAGTAGGTTTCCTTACACATCCACAGGACACAGCCGGAATATTGAAGATATACATGTATATTACAAGTAGGTTTCCTTACACAACCACAGGACACAGCCGGAATATTGAAGATATACATGTATATTACAAGTAGGGTTTCCTTACACAACCACAGGACACAGCCGGAATATTCAAGATATACATGTATATTACAAGTAGGTTTCCACAGTACACAACCACAGGACACAGCCGGAATATTGAAGATATACATGTATATTACAAGTAGGTTTCCTTACACAACCACAGGACACAGCCGGAATATTCAAGATATACATGTATATTACAGGTGGGTTTCCTTTACACATCCACAGTACACAGCCGGAATATTGAAGATATACATGTATATTACAAGTAGGTTTCCTTACACAACCACAGGACACAGCCGGAATATTGAAGATATACATGTATATTACAAGTAGGTTTCACACATCCACAGGACACAGCCGGAATATTGAAGATATACATGTATATTACAAGTAGGTTTCACACAAACACAGGACACAGCCGGAATATTGAAGATATACATGTATATTACAAGTAGGTTTCCTTACACAACCACAGGACACAGCCGGAATATTGAAGATATACATGTATATTACAAGTAGGTTTCCTTACACAACCACAGGACACAGCCGGAATATTGAAGATATACATGTATATTACAAGTAGGTTTCCTTACACAACCACACGACACAGCCGGAATATTGAAGATATACATGTATATTACAAGTAGGTTTCCTTACACAACCACACGACACAGCCGGAATATTCAAGATATACATGTATATTACAGGTAGGTTTCCTTACACATCCACAGTACACAGCCGGAATATTGAAGATATACATGTATATTACAAGTAGGTTTCCTTACACAACCACAGGACACAGCCGGAATATTCAAGATATACATGTATATTACAAGTAGGTTTCCTTACACATCCACAGGACACAGCCGGAATATTCAAGATATACATGTATATTACAAGTAGGTTTCCTTACACAAACACAGGACACAGCCGGAATATTGAAGATATACATGTATATTACAAGTAGGTTTCCTTACACAACCACAGGACACAGCCGGAATATTGAAGATATACATGTATATTACAAGTAGGTTTCCTTACACAACCACAGGACACAGCCGGAATATTCAAGATATACATGTATATTACAAGTAGGTTTCCTTACACAACCACACGACACAGCCGGAATATTGAAGATATACATGTATATTACAAGTAGGTTTCCTTACACAACCACACGACACAGCCGGAATATTGAAGATATACATATATATTACAAGTAGGTTTCCTGACACAACCACAGGACACAGCCGGAATATTCAAGATATACATGTATATTACAAGTAGGTTTCCTTACACAACCAAACGACAGAGCCGGAATATTGAAGATATACATGTATATTACAAGTAGGTTTCCTGACACAACCACAGGACACAGCCGGAATATTGAAGATATACATGTATATTACAAGTAGGTTTCCTTACACAACCACAGGACACAGCCGGAATATTGAAGATATACATGTATATTACAAGTAGGTTTCCTTTCACGTCCACAGGACACAGCCGGAATATTGAAGATATACATGTATATTACAAGTAGGTTTCCTTACACATCCACAGGACACAGCCGGAATATTGAAGATATACATGTATATTACAAGTAGGTTTCCTTACACAACCACAGGACACAGCCGGAATATTGAAGATATACATATATATTACAAGCAGGTTTCCCTGACACAACCACAGGACACAGCCGGAATATTGAAGATATACATGTATATTACAAGTAGGTTTCCTCACACACAACCACAGGACACAGCCGGAATATTGAAGATATACATGTATATTACAAGTAGGTTCCTCACACAACCACAGGACACAGCCGGAATATTGAAGATATACATGTATATTACAAGTAGGTTTCCTCACACAACCACAGGACACAGCCGGAATATTGAAGATATACATGTATATTACAAGTAGGTTTCCTGACACAACCACAGGACACAGCCGGAATATTGAAGATATACATGTATATTACAAGTAGGTTTCCTTACACAACCACAGGACACAGCCGGAATATTGAAGATATACATGTATATTACAAGTAGGTTTCCTTACACAACCACAGGACACAGCCGGAATATTGAAGATATACATGTATATTACAAGTAGGTTTCCTTACACAACCACAGGACACAGCCGGAATATTGTTGAGTGCGGCGTTAAGCAACAAGGCAAGTAAAACAAACGCCGCTACAATATTCCAGGTATATCACGGCCGGGGACAGCAGAAATGGTTGCATTTGGGAAATGGTATACATAGCGGCAACAGCCGGGTGCATTTGGGAAACGGTATACTATAATACATTCAAAAGGTTGAAGTAAGTCCCGTCCTATAACGATTACTGTTGGAAGTGTCTTCGTATATTACACAACCAAAAATACAGAGCTATGCCTAGAAATTGTGTTGCCTGGATTAATTAGAATTAATCTAAAAGATTTCATAAAACACCTAATGTGGTCATGTACATTCTATCCACCATAAACAAATACTATATTTCACCTATTGTTAATGTAAGAGATATAAGTAAACATTCTGTCAAACACTCGATTATATTTCATTAATTGAAGAACGCTGCAAAATATTTCTTTTCACAGCTGGTGAGATTAGTGCGGGTGGAGTTACCCCCAGCCACAGCTGGCAGGGTGCAGGGACGCAGACTTGCTGCCAGTCTAGGTAACCCAACCCTCCCCAGGTTCACGGTGCCTGGCTCTTCACAGTGACAACCCCTACAAATGTGACTACGTCATCCTCACCATCCAACGTAAATATTACGTATATTGTATTGTATGTATGGCCAGAGGCACATGCGGCTTGCGTCAATAAAATCTGACTGTCTGTCTGTCTATTAACTATAACGTTCTAGACATGATAATGCGTAGATACTGTCGCCTATGACTACGCTTAGCTTTAATCACACCTGAAGAGTCGCTGAGCAGCGAAAGATCTTGTGTACGTATAGGAGTTGACAAGCACTAATATCTGGACGCTATCTTTTATATACTTATTGCATGTAAGTTGAATATCTTTGCTGACCTGTCAGACCTTAGTATAAACTATGGCAAGTCTTAATTAATATGAACTGGTGCTTGGGCAATTAGATCGTTCAGGTACTTGTTAACACGTACAGTTTTAACACTGAGTCGGTTCCAGAATATTTCATATTTTACGCGTGGAGTTGTATTTCCAATAAATTTAAGTGTCATGGTTCTGAAAAACCATAATACGATAGATGAAAAGAATAATTTCTCCTCTTTGTGAATTACAAGTTTTATTATCACATCCTCAATGCATTTGATATTCATCTGAACTACAAGTACAAACAACATGAACATGTCCTTGTGGAGAAGTATTAAAACGCGAGTTTTGGGGAATCAGCTCGCTTGGCAAGAGGTCTGCCCATACCAACCCACACACAACACAACACCTGAGTAAATAAACAAGGAGTTTATTACACAGCAGTCACTGAACGATCTTACATAATCAATCAATAATAGCATAGTTTACAATTAATTATTAGAACATGTTCACAATGCAATCAGATATCAAAGTACATAAACATCACATGTAGATTCGTTATACACGACACATACTACATTAATCGCGATATATATTCCAATGTACACAGCAATAGTTCAGTACACTACACATCACCCCAGTGGGGGTTCATACAATCTACATTCTGTAACGGTCCCAAACAGCATATAGTATTCACAACGTAATACAATAGTTAAAATATCCCACACACTCTATACATTCTATAATAGTCACAAAACAGTGTAGTGTCAATCAGTATTAAATAAACAATCCTAAGCTGCAATACAGAAGATATGAGACACATACTAAGGGATGCCTCGTTCCACATAAACCTGAAGGTACTGCCAGGGTTGTAACTTATAGTTAAGGTATTTACAATAGATTAAAGTTAACATAGAATAACAATGGTATATATGTCAAAGAAGCAGAAAGTAAAGTTTCTTACCTGAGTAAATAAACAAGGAGTTTATTACACAGCAGTCACTGAACGATTTGTGACTGTGTGTTGTCCCTGTTTTATACCTATTCCAGTTATCATAGATAATCCCATTTACTGATACACTGACGATAAAGTTGTTGTTGTGAACTTCAGTTGCTATATCTAAATCCTATTGTCTTAACTCGACTGACGATAGTTGCCAACTGCGCACTTAAGCTACTCTATCTTGACCGGATTATATGATAATTTTCATAAACGTATTGAAGACATCGGTGTTGATGGGTGAAGTTCACAGTGAATTTGATTAGCTTATTGCTATCTGCAGACCCGGACCAGATACTGGTTTCGGATGTTCGTTATCAATGTGACCCTTGGCAGCTTGAAGATTGTGAACCGTGGTCAGTTAATCTGTACATGTACAGTTTTCAATAATATATACTGTCATCAATATTGGTAAAACTTTGTCCAGTTTTACCGTGTTAATAGAAGGATGGGCACAAAACATTGTGATCTACTCAATGATACTAAGTTGAGTTCTACAGCTTATCCTGATGTTTGAAGACCAACATATGATGACGATGTTATTTGACTTACTCCTGCCGTAACCTATATCTTATATCTACATATGAAATCTAAAGTTCTGTTGATGAATCATAATAACGCATATTTAAATGATGAATGTGCTTGCTGACCCTTAACGGTGATTTTACATTACATCCTCATTTGGCTCAGTACAGAAACTGAATGAACGTACGTGTGTGTAAGTGTCCCTGTCTCTGGCTTGGTCTTTTTCAATAAATTCAAGTCTGCGTTCATATGTACACTTTGTTTGCATATTTTGCCAGGTAATTCCCTCTTTTGACTTATGCCATACGTTCCCGAATTATTTCAGGTGAACAAATGACTAGACTAGCATATGTTTATGATGGGTGCCACCGGTGGGGCAGGATACGCTCAAATTTTCTCGAACACCTGGTGTGTGATTCATAAACACATGCTCTGTCATCGTATCTCATGGTGACAGTCACTGGTTTGTCTGGTCCAGACGCGATTTGTTTACAAACAACATCATACAGCTGTAATGCTGCTGAACATATGCTCATGAAACGTATGCTCCGAAATATATATGCTCAGGATATAGTCACAAATCGACTCTGCTTTTAGCAGAGGTGTCTTGTGAATGTGGAAAGGGTTTTGTCGCTTCTATTGAACAGGGACTCAGAAATATAAAATTATTGATTAAAATAAAATAACAGAAATCAATGTCTGTTGTTTGTTATTGCATACTCATCACTGGAGATTGTTGTTTAAGAAACTATCTTGTTATTTGGGAGGTATTATATCTTCGACGGGAGACACAAAGTTGGGAGATACATCCCCAAAACACGCACTGCACGCCTATATTGTATACGTCCTTGTTTACTGACAAGATAGGCAACTAAACTGATGAAGCAGTTGACTATTAAAACTCTTGAAGAAATATCTTGATACTGAGCATGATTTAATTGTTACAAACTACAAGCCATTTCAACTTTTGCATTACATGTATTTGGATACAGATACGAAACAGCAAGTGGTGAAAATGGGGCTTTGTTACGAAAATGATTCATCTTTCGTCTCCTAAATCATTTTCTTCGAACCATCAAACAGAAATGTGAAGAAGGATATGAGTATGTTTTCCTAAATTAGATGTGGGTAAATGTCTCTCTCACAGTCAGCTGTCAGTGGGTACCAACGGGGAAAGGTGAAAAACGTACCATTTTCTATCTGGCTGTGCTGGCCGGGGTTTTCAGCAAGGATGGGACCTCGTCTTTCGGGCCAGGATCAAGGACAACATGGACTATCACGCAGTACTGAACGTCAAGCTATTTCTAGTGTGGGTGAGTGAACGTCAAGCTATTTCTAGTGTGGGTGAGAGGCGGTGGGGTAGCATTGTGGGGAAAGCGTTCGCTCGTCACGCCAAAGACCCGGGTTCGATTACCCATGGGTACATTGTGTGACATCCATTTCTGGTCTCTGATACTGCTGGAATATTGCTAAAAGCGGAGTAAAAGTTAACTCACTCACACACTGGGGTTGGTTAAAAACAATAAATTGCCTGCTGCCTTTCCTGCCATGTCCCCGTTGGTGTGGAAGGTGTTAGTTCTGCGGAGACACACGGAACGTTGTCATCACTAACTCGATAGACGCGTTCGTCTTATGTGTGATCAACGTACAAACTACCAGGACCAACGTGACGTACAGTGTGACCCATGTTTACCGTGGCTGAACATCAGCTGTGTATAAAAGCAGAGCGATGTTGACCACATCATACACATTGAGTAGAGGCACGTTGCTGAACCTTCCAAGATGCTGGACACCAATTCCAGTGGCTCGACTTCTATCCTGGATATATATGCCGGTTTACCCGAGGAAGAGGAATCACGAAACAGAAAGAGAAGACATGGGCATGTTTTGCCACCTCAGTATATCGAAGATGTTTCATTCGCCCTTTCAGACAATGCCCAACTTCTGAATTTCAAACTCACGGGCCATGAGGATAAAATGACTATAGATCAGAAGAAACCTCGAGATATTGAAGAATACACAGGGCAGTCTACTGACGGTAAGGCTAGAAGTGTCCGGAGGAGGTCAAGTATCTTGAGACACGGGGTCAAGAAGGAAAGGACTTACAAGGAAGAAAGAAAGAGGTCCTGGAAACGTTTGGAATCTAAGATGCTGTCAACACAAGAAGCAAAGGAAAGAGACGACCAACAGAGCATAGTGAAACATACATTCGTGTGCACGTGATGTGAAATGTACATTCCGAATGTCCATGAAGATGGATTGGTCCATTGTACAAATGATCCAGAGCAATGACTGTGAATGCTGCATTTGTGACTACAAACATTATGACTGACTACAATCAATGTTCCATGACTACATATGTATATAGTATTTTATATTCCAACTGTTGAACTGTGTAAGAGCTTTAGCTTGGTTTTTAGCGTGGTAGTCGATACACCGGTTGTTTGACTATCACGAGAATGTATGATGGAATAATATTTGCACATACATTTATTTAGATTCTACGTCTTTGAATCTGTACATATGCTTTTAAGATTGAATAAATTCCACAAAATGATCGGAATCTTGTTGGTTGTTGAACTAGCCAGGATACAGATTGAAGACAGGTTGTGAGAGGATGAGAGACAACTTTCGTTGCTTAAATCAGCAATAACACTTATTGACAGGCCTGGACTGTAATACACGCACGCACGCACCATAGTTACAAATTTACAAATCAAACCACAACAATAAAAACCACATGGTTTATTCGAATCACCATGAAGCATAATTAACACATTTGCAAATCGAACTTCAAAGTTTGGTTTAACAGTCCCAGCCGTGAACACCAGAAATGCTGAATATTTGGGGAAACCCGGGTGACTCAGGTGTCAGACATACTCATCACGACGCAGGATCAACCAACATGGCCCGCCTTGCAGCTTATATTGTCATCTCAGTGCTGACGAGTGAGTATCAGATATATATGATCAATCGCTGTTCATTTTAGTCTTAAACTTCAGGAATAGCATTCATAGGTCTTCAGTATCACTTCTACCCTTGAGGAGTAATATCCAACATGTTTATCGGTTGTGATGTTTTATTTGTAATTAATGTGAATCATGTGGCAAGAGTGTTTGGAGTTCCAGCGTTGAAATGGTCCTGATTCCTTATTATGGGCTGTAACGGGTGCCTTCCAGCTGATCGGTTGATGACGTGTATCTGTGCCCCTATCAATCACGATTATCTGATTCATTATTTAAAGAGCTGGAATAGAGCTGACTGCAGTTTCAAGTGGCAGCGCCTGAAACATATACAGTCTTTTCGCTTTACCCTTACATTTAGCCAACACACCGATGTGAAACTGGTACACTGTATATCTGATGTAAACCGACATACCGTCTACAATGTTGTTTTGACACAAATGTTCATTAAATCCAGTGTGACGTTGAAAAAGGAATTAAAGTGTTGATAAGTGACAGCACAATAACACTTCAAACATATGTCACATCTGTGTTTATGCAAGAGTGCGGCGTTGTAAACAACAATAAACTCACACACCTTTGTTTCGGCGTCCGCGACAGTATGCGTCAGTGGCCAACGTCATTGCTACAGCTGTAATGAACGTGAACGACCTCAGGACTGTGAGAACGTGGCCACGTGTAGTGCTGGAGAGGTGAGTTAAGGACTTCGACATTCAGATAAAGCGTAGTAACCTAAACCATCCCTTCAGTCATCGTCCGAAGCCTACTGGTTAAAGCGTTCGCTCGTCACGCCAAATCACCGGGTTCGATTCCCACATGGGTACAGTGTGTGAAGCCCACTCCTGGTGTCCCCCGCCGTGATATTGCTGGAACATTCTTTAAAGCGGCGTATAACCATGCTTACACACGCACTCTCATCCAGAATGTGTCTGTAACACGCATGATGTCAATGGCAACTTAACCCTGTGTACATGCCAAAGCTTATATTTGAGAAGCTTGAAAGTATATATATAAGATACCATAACATAATGATTCACATAGAAATGATTCTAAATGAGTTCATATAACCTCGCATGATGAAAGCAAAAAGTATTGGTGACATTTAGAGTGACCACCATGAAGAGAATAACTTTTTAAAAATAAAACTTGTATTTATTTTATTTCAGCAATGTATAACTGACAAGTACATCAGCGAAGAAGGTCATACGTTTTTTAACCTTGGCTGCCGACCTGGGAGGGTGAGAGCTGTGTTATACATTACATCTATGTAACAGAGGTCACGTGACAACCGTGGGATGTTCCCAATGTGCCTACATCTGCCTACAGTTCATTCTGCCTACAGTCTTATCAAAACAACTTCATGGCTGAGTAACGATAAATTTAAGCCACAAAACCATGTCTGTAACCATATCAAATATCCAAAGAGTCCATTGTAGGATTTATTCATATGTCTGTGAACCGCTGGAACTGTCACGAGCCCTCAAGTCGTTACCGTGGCATGCATGTGTTTGAAGCTGCAAATATTATTGATCATCATGACCCAAATGAGAACAATTATTCCGCCATGGTCCTCAGGTGTGGGGCGATGGGGTAGCCTAGTAGTTAAAGCGTTCACTCGTCACGCCGAAGCCCCGTTTTCGATCCCCCACATGAGTACAATGTGTGAAGCCCATTTCTGGTGTCCTCTGCCGTGATATTGCTGGAATATTGCCGAAAGTAGCGTAAAACCATACTCGCTCCTTAGTTGTGTTTTACCAAGAGTTCTGGGAGTGAGCAAGTAGTATACACAATGGGGCTACGGGACCAGGTCCCCACCAAGGGCTCAATTTAATCCCGTAGCCCCATTGTGTATACTACTACTGAGGTGCGTGCAAAATTTGATGAAAATCAGTCGAATAGTTTCTGAAATATTGTCTTTTAAGTGAACATGGGGTCGGTCGGGAAAACGGCCCGGGTCGCTTCGGGGATGGTTGCTCCACCGAGCGCTGTGGGCGGACGAGTCGCACTGCGTGTGCGTGTGTCTCTCTCGGCTTGGTCTACGGGTGGCTGGCTGGCTACATTTAGCAGAAAAATAGGCATGCAAGACTGATAAAAAATCATGACGAGAAACTATCATCACACGGTGGGTGATGTGTAAGGGACTGTATCATGACGTACGATCATCAACTCCTCTCTGACGAATGCTCTCGGCGGTCCGTCTTTCAAGTAGTACAAGTTCGGTTCGCCGTCTTTGATGTCGACAAGGTCTACGTTGTACGTTTTCATGGACCATATCGGATCGGTGGCGCGTTTTCTGCTGTCTCCCTCATATTCTCCCGCGTGGTACAAGTACCTAATGCTGACCCGGTCCGGTAATGTTTTCTCTGTTTTATCGCGACGTGCTGCTGCCGTCGAAGATTCGACAGATTTCATTTTCATGGCTTCGACGGGTCTCTTGCCCACGAGTCTGGTGACTTCGTTGTTGATGGCATCCACCACATCCATCGGATCGAACGACCATGTAACCGAACCCGCAGGCTTTGTGTTCTTGTGTTTTATGCATGAAACTTTTTTTGCGGGGACAACGTCGCGACAGTGTCGACGGTTTAGATGAGGGCTTTGAAGTCGGCGTAGATGACGTAGGGCACGGGCATTTGATGTTTGTGGTTGAAGAATTTCAGCGTGTTTTTCTTTTCGTCGGGCATGTCTATTCGGATGGCCTTCTCCCCCACGCCTCGGCAATCCTCCCGATGGGATTCCAGCAGGTCGGCTCACGTGAAGCCGTGCAGGCACCTTTCTTTTCCTTTAGCTTCGATTGATCGTACAACAGTCTGTTGAAATATTTTATCAACGTGTAGTGATACTTGTCGCCTTGCTTGAACATGAATATATTGATTGTCTTGCGGTGTTCATTTGTGAGGGAGCTGATCCTGTGCACGATCGTTTTATTCCCTTCGTGTCCAAAGATATTGATGACTATGTCGTCGTTCTGTATTTCGATTTTGGTGACCTGGGAGATGGGGTGTGGGTTCGTTTATGCCGTCCCAGTTGATCCCATCATCTTCGGGATAGCTGGAAAGTCTGTCTGAATGTGCTTTGAACGGAAACTTCGTAGATCAGAACGCAACCCTCATGCAATCATCGCCTTTGTTTTTGACATTGACCATGGCTTGCTCTTTCTTGTAGTATGGTGGCAAGTCTAGGTACGACCTTCCTTTGAACGGCACGTAGTTCGCTACGTCCAAGTAGACCGTGTCCATCGTGTCGACGACCCAGCCCGAGCCCATGTGCGTGTAGCGTTCCAGGGATTCTCGAATTTTTGCAAACGAGGTGTTGATGGTTGCGTCGACGGACTCGGGCTGAGTCGCGACTTCTTGCTTGCCTCTGAAGTAAGGCTGGACGTGTTCGGTGGTGCTGTCTGTCTGCTGTTTGTCCAGCGACATTCTCACCATGAGTTGAAATTTGAGGCTTCCCAGATCGTTCAGTTCCTCGCCGACTTTGTCGGCTATCAGGCATTTGATGTCATCGACGTCCATGTTTTTGTCAAAGTCCAGCCTCCAGCCTCTCATATACTTACCTACGGCGTGCTTCGTCCGCACGAACCATAGTTCGATGGGTTTGTGTTCCTCCAGCAGTTCGACGAGCTCGGCTTTCCTCATGCGCGAATAATCTCTTAGCCCACGCTTCTTCGCTCGGAGTTTGAGCTGTTTTGGTTGTTGTTCATCTTTCATGCCGAGCAATCATCGTTGCTATATCAATGTGTGAAAGAAAAATTCTAAATGAAAAATAATTATATTCAGATGCGAAGTCAAATCTCTAATAGGTTGTTCGCTATAGTCAGGTGTGAAGTCAAATCTTGAATAGGATCTTCATCGCTATGTTCGGCTGCAAGTCAAAATCTCTAGTAGTTTGTTGCTGTGCGAAGTATGTCTCGCTGTTAAATGTTAGAGTAAAACTTTCAACCGACTTTAAAAGAAAGAAGCGATTTTTGTGATGCATGTTAGATTTTTATTCTGAGCAGTCGGTTGCGTTTGTTGAGATAGTCTCTTTTCATCAAGTAGATGAGATGACCTCGTACCACGTCCGCTCTGTGGGCTTTGCAACGACGATAATGGCATTTCACACCCACACCGCACATTTCTCACGAAACCCTTTCGTATGGAGATCATGTGTATCCCGCAATATTCGGTGGTGCATTTCTTGCCGCAGGTTCGGTTTTTCCTAGCAGCACGTACTTGCAGTTATACGGTGCACGTCTTCTCATCTTTATATATACACATAAATATATATTAGTCTAATTGTTTGGCGATCAACACGGTCGCTGCTAGACCCAGCACCATGAAAATCAGTTCCCGGTCTTTCTGTTCCGGGGAAGGCGTGTAAAACTGTGAGAGGGTGGGTGGGTTCGTGTCTGAGAGGTTCGAGTCGTTTGCTGGTGAGCAGGTAGTATTCTCGCATGGCGTCATCGAAGTTCTTGAACGTTCCATGACGAGCATGCCCATGTCCTGCACGTTGAAATCGAGTTTGATCGTAGGCTGTTTGAGAACCATTTTCGTTAAGCGAGCGTAACCTATGGTTAGTCCGGCGACTACGGCGGCGTGATATGCATCGTTGACGAATGTTTTTCCTTCAGACGGCGTGTGTGTATATATAAAATATATATTGAATATACATAACATGCGGATGTATTTCTAATTGTGATTGCGTCGTCTGCTGCTGTTGTGTTGGTGGTGGTGGTTGCTTGTTATTATTATATAGCAGCATAACGACGACGACCACGCTTAATCCAGTTGCTGCCACGGCGGCAACAATCCATGGAGTATTATTATTTTTCTGGTGCTTGGCTAAACCACCTTTTCTACCAGCGGCGACTTTTTTAGGATTCTTGGTGGTGGTGACTCGTATGGTTTCGTCGTTGCTTCCTCCTGTTGCGCATCCATGTTGTATAATATTATCATTGTTATTTTTCCCCTTCTTTAAATTGACAATGCTTTGCCGTGATGATCGCCGCAGTCATCGGAGCTAAAAACATGCCATATCTGTGGTACAGCACGCAGCTGACGGCACACAAAGCGTGGTAGATGAACGGATCTTTCTCAAGATCTTCCTACAGGTAAAGTTGACGTTCCGGTGGAATGGGAAGGAAGTACGACGCTACACTGGCGTAGACTTGCGTTATGACAGACCCTATGGTTTCGTCATTTCGCCAAGTCTGGCTTCGTATCTCGCGTACAGCTTGTCGATTTCTTCAGCTGGCATTCTGTGAATTTTATTGGTTGCCCCCACCACCCAAGTATTGTTTGATTTTGCCGCTGCCTGCGAGCGCCACCAGTCTCTCTCACTTGTCGTTTTTATTATTATTATCATCGTCATCCAACATTTGTTTGAGCAGTTCGTCGCACTCCATCTTATAATGTAACAAGCGATTTTTAAGTCTAATAAAATAAAATGCAATGCACACGAAACCCAGCGAGATGAAAGTCAAGTTGCACACAACGATAGTTTCGAACATCGTTTTTGCTTGAGTTATGCTAGAATTTGACCCATCGCGTCTGTTCCCGTATATCTTTCAGGACCGAGTTGAATTTCTGCATCAAAACCAAATCGCTGTGATTCGTGTGTCGGCCAGAGAAGGCCAGGTACGACAGCACGTCTCTTTTTTTAACCATCTCCTTGTTGGCGCTGCAGTCGTCCAGGATGAACAGCATCGATTCTCCTTTCAGTTTGTCATGGTAAGCACGCAAACAGTCCTGCAGACGAATTCCAGGATCGATTTTGTGTTCCACTTTCGTGATCTCGGGATTCAAAGTGAGTTCACTGTTTCTTCGAAACAGCTCGTATTCCGCCACGGAATGATCAAGATGCCTTTCATCGATCGAGATTCCAGCCTGTCACCCAGCGCGGCCTGGTAAAACGGCATGTGCCCCTCGAGCAGCTCGAAGTCGAGCGGTATGCAAAACCGATTCACGTTCGCCTCGGCGATGGCTTTGTCTCCTGCCGTTATATTGCCGACCTGGTCTTGCGTGAAACCGTACTCCAAACGGATTTCGTTCAATACGTCGTTATTCCGACAAAGTCCTTGATCATCTCATTCATTCGAGGTTCTCCAGAGGTCCGCGTAACAGTAAAACAAGTCTCTGTCGTCGATGCTCAGCACCTCGTTCCTGCTGATTTTGATGGTGGTTTTCTTGACGATGGAACGACCCAGGTTGTTCACGATCATGCGTTTCGTCGGTCGACTCCAAACGTGATCTGAAAA